AAATTGCTAAGTGAAAATTTCATATGGATTTGATGATCATAAAATAAAAAGTTAATCTTACTAATATTACACACACAAATAAGGAGTACATCATAATATCATATAGCTAGCTAGTACAAAGACTACAAACTAAGTTACACATAATAGTTGGGCATTCTTTATTCTTTTAACATAGAATTGAAACTCATCTCATAAAAGCATAGCAACAAAGTTTAGCCATATATCTTACACATATAAACCTCATATAAATAATGAGTTTTATGAACAATGATCATCATAATGATGGTGGCCGTCGTGATGGTGGTGATGGCCTTCGTGATGACCATGATGGTGATGATGATCGTGATCATAATAATCATGGTGATGACCACCATGATGACCATAACCATGGTGCCCTCCATGATGATAGTCTCCATAACCATATGGGTTACCACCATAGCCATATGAGCCTTGCCATGGTGATGTGTGTTGATGCCCATATCCCCATCCCCATGTCATATTTCACAATTTAAATCTTTACTCTTTTAATACATAGAATTGAAACTCATCTCACAAAAGCATAGCAACAAAGTTTAGCCATATATCTTACATAAAACCTCATACAAATAATGAGTTTTATGAACAATGATCATCATAATGATGATGGCCGTGGTGATGGTGGTGATGGCCGTCGTGATGACCATGGTGATGGTGGCCATGGTGGTGATGATCATCATAATGACCGTGATGGTGATGATGATCGTGATCATAATAATCATGGTGATGACCACCATGATGACCATAACCATGGTGCCCTCCATGATGATAGTCTCCATAACCATATGGGTTACCACCATAGCCATATGAGCCTTGCCATGGTGATGTGTGTTGATGATGCCCATATCCCCATCCCCATGTCATATTTCACAATGTAAATATAATCAATTGCTTGTAATTTGGAGTAAGAAATGAAAATAATGTGGAATCTGATCTAATTTTTTTGGTGTGTAGGAAATATACTTGTCTAGTGTACGGTATTTATAAAGAGTATGTAGGTGCATGCATGAGATAATCGATCATATCGAGAATATAATTTTTGGTGTTATGTGTTATTCCCTCCATATTACTTTATTTCCAAAGTGGTTGATGAAACAATAAAGTATTGGATTCATCTCTTTGATTAAAAAAAATAAAAAAAATCTTTATTCCTAATTATGGCTACATGTCTCATATTAATTGAAAAAAAAATACATAAGAATCTATGCTTATATAAATTAGTGGAAGTGGAAGAAGAATAAGTTCAAGCCGCAAACATCTAGATAGAGTTTGTACTTTGTAGTGATAAAAATTAATTAATACAAATATTTTTTAATAAAAGCATATTAAATTTGTATATTCACATTAGAAATGGTTGTGTATGAATGGATATGATGGATATTGCTTGTATGTTAATTTGATATATTTAATTAAGCCATTAATTTACTACAAGTACTTAACCAATTAAAAAAAATTTTAACAAAATATATTCGGCGTTAAAGTTTAAAATTGTTTATCATAAAAAGTCAAATTTGGTTTACTAAAGAGAGGCCTTGTATTACAAATTCAAAGCAATTGTAGATGCGTTTTTTGCTATAATTTCATGGAATGTTGAGGATATATATGGAGTAATTCTATCATGATATGACTCTCTATCAATTGCAACAAAGTTTTTTTTTTTTGAGAAGAATTTGATTCTTTGAGTTTGTAATGAATGGTTGTACAACACTTTAGTCACTTAAAAACTTTTTACCTACTAATTGGACCAAAAATCTAATCATAAAATTCCCCTAAAAATATCACACTAGTAAAGGTATAATGAAGTCGACAAAGATCATGTAATGTAATTACACATAGAACATACTAGTATTGGTAACTATTGGGTATTTTGTAAATGAAAAAAGAAAGAGAATTTATGAGACAATTGTTAGTAATTAAAAAGTGAAATAGTTGATTTTTTAAAGATAAATTTTGAATTCAATACCATACAATTGGTACAAATAATTAACATGCAATTATATTTGCACAAACTAGTTAGCTACGAAGTAGATGATAAAGTAGTGATCAAACACATGAGATAAAATTGTTTCCTCTTGTACTTGATTTGGAGGTGACTAAGGTCCATGGTGAATTTCACATTGCCTTTTGATCTACAATTAAAATACGGTCTCCGTCTTTTAAAGAACTTCATATCTTGCACCCGAATTGAACATTCTACGTCGTATGCTACTATCCGTAACCGTATCCACATCCGAACCCATATCCGTATAGTTTTAATTAAAGGATTGGACTTAGACTAGAGCATAGTAATGGGTTGTCTACCTCTCCAACACAATTAGCCCATAATTTTTAAAGCCATAATTTTTAGACTTTATATGCTTACACATTACAATCTCTCTGTTTTAGCTGTGTTTTTCCGGTGAACTGCAAAAATGGCGGCAAATTCCGAGGTTAGCTTTCCTACTAATCATCTTCAAAATTTTCTCATTTATTGTTTCTGTAATCACTATCGTTTTCTTATTGCAAATAGAATACAGGGGTTAGATCGTTTCAACTTTTTCAATCAGCTGATGAGAGCAAGAATTAGGATGATTAATTTTGTAGGGTACCCTTCCGTTTTTTTATTGGTTATTCTCCGATTTTAAATACTATTCATAATACTTCCTCTGTTTCATTTTATTGGTTATGTTTAGATTTTAAACATTATTCATAATACTCTCATCCGTCCTAAAATATATGAGACATTGGAATTTTTTCACTATTCATGTAATAGTTTTGATCATAATTTTTTACTAACATAATAAAAACATATTTTATCATAAAATATGTTGTTAAATAGGTATATATATAAAGTATTTAAAATAATAATTTTCATTAATATTTAATTATATACAAATAAATTCAAAGTAGTGCATTGACATGTGTGCAATGTTGACTGTGTCATGTATTCTGGGATAAAGGGAGTATTAGATAATCTTCAAATTTACTCACAAAAGTAAAATAATCACGTGAGATCATGTTTGATTCGTCAACGAATGCTCGATTAATTTTCAATCGTTATAATTTTAAAAAGTATGTAATGAATAATAATCAAATAGGTGTATTGACAAACGTGTAAAAGTCAAAACGTATCCAATAAAAAGCGACAAAGGGAATTTTGTGAAAACTTAAGAAAATTTTACCAACAACTACCATTATAATGATTACTTTGAGAACAACTACCATTTATTTATTTGTAAAAAAAAAAAAAAAAAAAAAAAAAAAAAATCTACCACAAAAACCTTGAGTAACACAACTACATTTAATTTCTTGGCAATAATTTCCAATTGAGGGAGTTAAAAAATCGGTCGTTTCAACGACGAGGAAATGGAGGAGGGGCGGTTTCATCAACCTGAGAAGGGAGGGGCTATTTTAGGGATTCGGATTAATAAATTAAAGTGAATTTTTCTAAAAAATAAAACTTAGATTTTGGAAGCGCCCAATATAATAGATCGAAAAGCGAAGACAAGTCGAATTCAGGGTTAATTGGAGGATGAAATGGAGTCGTTTGACTCTTGAAATTGCCCTTTTTAGTCTCTTTAGTTTTAATAAAAATGTGTTCCTTTAATGGAAGTGGTGTTACTTATGTTTGTTGGGAGATGTAGCAAAATTTCAATTTCAGATTTACATAAACCCTTGTTGAAGGAGGATGGTAGTAGGTGTTGTTAAACTCATTTGTATGTGATATCAGTAAAAGTCATTACAACATCATGACCTTGTATGAGAATATACACTCTCTCTGACCCACAATATAGTTTCTGTTTTCCTATTTTAGAGACCCAAAATGTTGTTCCTATTTCTATTTTTGAATAGTACGGAAAGACCATTATACCCTTATTTTTTACTTTATTCATTGAACTTCCTAATTTACCCTTAACTTATCCACTTGCATTGTACTTTTTTCACTTCCTCCCTCTAACTTTTGTCTATAATTGTACTTTTCACTCTTTTCCCCTTAAATTATCCACTTGCCTTGTACTTTTGTCTAGCTTTTTTCCACTTCTCCTCCTATTTCTTAAATACCGTGAAAGAAACACAATAGGAACTATATTATGGGACGGAGGGAGTATAAGATATGGTTTCGTCAGATCACAAAGAAATGTGATTGACATGTATGAAGCATAGATCTCAAGAAGATTTTATCCATTTGAATTATTGGGGTCCCTTAGGGTAAGACATACTGATTTTGGGTTGTCTCCGTCATTTTAGCAACATTCATAGACTTTTAATTGTATGTTAGAAAATACCTTGCACAACACGAAACATCATCACCAACTACCCTCGTTCTATCAATAGTCCCATTGCATGTTTAAATGCATATTGGTAAGTCTTATATGCGTTGTCCTCACTCGTTGTAATAGCTTAAAGGTAAATATCGTATGAAGCATAGATCTCAAGAAGATTTTATCCATTTGAATTATTGGGGTCCCTTAGGGTAAGACATACTGATTTTGGGTTGTCTCCGTCATTTTAGCAACATTCATAGACTTTTAATTGTATGTTAGAAAATACCTTGCACAACACGAAACATCATCACCAACTACCCTCGTTCTATCAATAGTCCCATTGCATGTTTAAATGCATATTGGTAAGTCTTATATGCGTTGTCCTCACTCGTTGTAATAGCTTAAAGGTAAATATCGCTAATGACCTTAATTGATATTGTGTAAGGGCTTCTTATGCCAATAGTAACTTATGTTAGTTACCGTCCTTTCGTTTGTTGTAAACTCAGTTTAATTAATGTGATTTCAGCTGTTTTTTTGTTTTTTTAAAAAAAGTCTACAGAACTTACAAAGAATTGATACAAGCTTTAGTGTTGAAAATATTTAAAAATATTTAAAAGATATTTACATAGAACCTTTATAAAACCCACATATCTCATAATTAGACAATCATATAAAAACCTGCCTTATTTATTTGTCAGACGGATTTAACACATATTATAACTATGGCGGGTCATGGCTTTTAAAGGCCTCCATTCCTATTTCCTACCTCTCCGAGTTATTTAATTGAAGTGCACTCAACGTTCTCCATTGAAGCGTTCTCCGTCAAATCTAATTCTTGGATACCCCATTGAAGCAGCTTCTAAGGTAAGTTGTTGTTGTTATCATCATATCAATTCACAATCTAGGGTTTTAAGGTTTAGTGAGAGTGAAAAAAAATGAAGAAGACTGAAGCTGTGCACTGATAGATCCTTAGAGAAGCTAATCCTTCATCAGTTTGAATTTCCTTCATCTTTGATTTTTGTTTGTAATTTTTCCATGATAAATTAAATGGAGTCATAATCATATTTTGAGTGTATAAAAAGTTAGAATTTATTGATGGCAAACTATATCTATCATTTTGCGAATCAAAACGGATTAGAAAGAAATACTTTGTATTGAGTTGGTGGACTAGGCTTCCTATATATCTTAAACTTAAGGCCCTAAATATCTGAACATCTCCTCGACTTGGCATTCTTGAAATTAATTTGGTTCATTTTATACTTTTTTAGTGTTTCACAATTATCATGGTTGGTGTCAACTGTCAAAGAGTCAAAGATGAATTAAGTTTAAAATTTGTATATTAGCATTTTAGGATTTCTATTAACTTTGCTAGATTTGTTTCTGCACTCAAGATAGGATGTCTGTGGTTCAGAGTTGTCAACTCTGCTCTACAAGTTATATTGACTCATTTCTGAGCTCGTTCTCCAAGTTTCAAGGTGTTCCTATGCCACTACTTAGGTACAATTACACTGGTACTTTTGGTAGACGCAATTATTGCTCAACCCAGAATTTTATTCGGTCATGTTCAATCAATGAGCAGGACTTACCTAGGACTTCGAGTTTTCTGCTTAGTAAATATAAAAATCAGGGATCCTCTAGTCAAGCATCCTTTTCCAGGTCAAACAGAACTGATGAGAATTCCATCCATACATCATTTTCTCAGTCAAATAGTGATGAAAAATCATCAAGTGCTTGGTTAGAGAAGTGGAAGGAAACCCGCCAAAGAAATTCTCCCAAATCACCCCAACTTGCATTGAACTATAGAAGCAGGGATAATATGTTGAATTCGTTTAGTTCTAGCAGTGACTCATCTAGTACTCATACCAGTGGTAGTACTATGGATAGGATAGTAAAAAAATTGAAAAAGTTTGGCTATTTGGATGATGCCAATGAAAATGATGATAACCAAGAAAGGATGATTGAGAAAGGGTCAGTTGAGGATATATTCTATGTAGAAGAAGGAATGCTCCCTAATACACATGGTGAGTTTTCTGAGAATTTCTCATTAGGGATAGAGCAAGGTTTTGACAATGAGGACGACGTACGATTCCCATGGGAGAAACCTGCTGCAAAACCTGAGGAAGCTAATTCAGTCATAAAGAGAAGCAGGACTTATATGGCTGAGCTTACTCTACCAGAGTCTGAGAGAAGGAGGTTAATGCAATTGACTTTAAACACGAAGCAAAAAGTGAAGATAGGTGGTGGAGGCGTTACACAAGCAGTGGTTGATCGCATCCATGAGAAGTGGAAATCTGCAGAAATAGTGAGATTGAAAGTAGAGGGCCCTCCTGCACTAAATATGAAACGTATGCATGAGATTCTTGAGGTTTGCATCTTATGATTTTAATCTCCTTTACTTTTACTGGTATTTATTGCCTTGCAATTTAATTTTGGTTGCTGTCTCTCTGCTTAGCTGAATGTTGTCAAAATCGAATATAATATATATGAAGAAAGTGCTAAATTGCCCTTTTTTGTATCTTTGTGGTGATAGATCATTGTGCCTATTCTGGGGACCTTTAGACCATTATGTGGAAAATGATGAGACACATAGGAGGCACTGCCATGAGGCTACACTTGCACTTAGTCATGATTTTTTTCCTCATAAATCTATGTTTTGCACCATAATCGACCATCAGTACTTGCGATATACACACATTTATACTTGATTGCAGAAGGTTCATTACTAAAAATCTTTGAAATGGTCATAATTTTCCTCTACTTGTCTAAGCACTTGTCAGAGTATCCTTTTGTACCTCGGGTGTAATAACCATCATATCCTTGTTTAAATGTTTTTCTTATAGATTGTTTGAGATACTCCACATTCTCAAAAATCAAGATAGTCCGTACATAAGTAAACATTATGCATCTGTTTTAGTGTTTCATTTGTCATTTTGCAAATATATTGAATATCTTAGTAAATGATGCTGTGCTGAATAAGCATTATAGGACTTAAAATCACTGTGAAGCAAATCTTTGGTAAGGCTTTACTTGCCAACTCTTAGTCATTTCTGAAGAGAAACAATTAGTTTCATATCATATGCCAATGTGCAAATGGCTCAAGAGTCTTCACAAATGATCTCGTGGTTGAATGAACATGAAGCACATAATCTAAAGGAATAGATATCCTATAAAATTCCCCGTACAAAGTATTTTGTTTATGGTAAAGGTCTTTCCTCTCAACTCCCATGATCTCAATTCTCAATAAGTTATTAACTCACTTATCATCAACATAGTCACTGAACTTCATTGAAAGTTAATGACAATTTATAAGTGGGAGTGTGAGATACTTGGTTAGCAATCAGTTATCATTGGAATAGGTAAAAACAAACTGTCACTCTATCAAGTTAGCCTATTCCCCCCCTCCTTTTTACTAGTGTCCACTATATGGCCATTGATAATTGATACTTGAGCCTATTGTTGAAGGAGATGAAAATTCAGTTACTCTTTGATTAAAATTACCTTTTCAATTCAACCATCCTTACCATTATTCTGGCAATCACTTTAATTTAATCTTTAAGAAAATGAAGTAAATCTCATAGATACCCTATAGATCTCATGGAGTGAAGGTGACTGTTAAACTTTATCAGTGATTTCTGATCTTACAGACTATATTCTTCGAATTTATATCAAGAGTTCAAGACCTTCTTATAGAACAGGATTCATGTTATAACAGCAATATATGTGAAACCTACTAACCTAGTCACTAGGTTAAATTACAATCAACAGAGAAAGAGAAATAGCATGAAAAGCTGATTGGGTGGACAGATCAGGTATGTTGGCTCATTCCAGCAATGTCACTACTGTTGTGTGCATGCTTAGCTTGTCCTGAAACTTGTTGAGTTGTGGTGCATGTTTATGATCACAAGAGGCTGTTGTTTGTAGTCCTTGAATATGAGACTGGAACATCCAAGATTCTGTTTGTCATGACTCGTGTCTACAAGCACAAACCTCTTTATCCTTTGTAAGTCTGGAGCATCGAAGATTTTTCCTTAGCTATTAAAACTTTCTCCCTTCCTACTAGCTCTTCTTATTTGCTGAACCTGTAGAGCTATGGAAGAAAGTTTATTTATTTCCATGAGGCTGGAAATTTATGTTGATTGTTCATTACTATCTAAATACATTAACTGTAGTGTCTTATCTCTTCTTATATAGAATAGTGTGACTTCGTATTTGGGTTCTCTTGTCATTGCATTTTTGTTGATCTTCTTGTATATATGGCTTGTAACCTTTTAGTTTCCTGTAAGTTTATTGGCATTATTCTTCATTTTCAATCCAGAGGAAAACTGGTGGTCTTGTTATTTGGAGGTCAGGGACATCTGTATCTCTATATCGAGGAGTGAGCTATGAAGTTTCTGGGCGTACATCTAAGATCCATGGAACTCAGGTTGCTGGCCGATTGTTGCTTGATCAGAATCTTACAAAACCTTCACAAAATGATTCTTATGACAGTAAACATTCTCCAGAAGAGGGCCTCCACAGAAATGATGTCGATAAAAAAGATTCTGAATCTTTAACTAATGTAAAGTACGAGGATGAAATAGACAAGTTGTTATCTGACCTTGGGCCTAGATATGCGGACTGGCCTGGTGATAACCCATTGCCTGTTGATGCTGATTTGCTCCCAAATCTAGTTCCTGGCTACCAGCCACCATTTAGATTGCTCCCGTATGGATTCAGACGTACTCTTGGAATGAAAGAGTCTACATCGTTAAGAAGGATTGCTAGAACACTTCCCCCTCATTTTGCTTTAGGTATGTTGGCTCTTCTACTTACTTGCTTCAAGCTTCTTAGATTTTTGCTAACTGTGTATTGAGGTTGTCTTCAGGCAGAAGTAGGCAACTAGAAGGTTTGGCAGCCGCCATTGTTAAGTTATGGGAAAGAAGTTCCATTGCAAAGGTAGCGCTGAAGCGTGGTGTTCAGCTTACTACAAGTGAGAAAATGGCTGAGGAGATTAAGGTGAGCTAATGGATATTGATTGCTGTGTTTTATTTCTTATTATTTAATATTATTAATTTCACTGCATAAATTTTTTTTGATAAGCAATTCTTCCTGATCTAAATTGGAGTCTCTCCAGGATTATTGAATCAATGTTCATTAATAGTTCGGCAGTTTGATATTGTCCGGTGTCCCAAGTGCAGTCCAATTTTACCAAGCTGTTGTTTTACATTGTCTTATATATATTGCAGAGGTTGACTGGGGGAGTAATGCTTTCCAGAAACAAGGATTTCATGGTATTTTACAGGGGCAAGGACTTTTTATCATCAGATGTCACTGAAGCTTTACTAGAAAGGGAGAGATTGGCGAAGGACCTTCAGGATGAAGAGGAGCTGGCACGAACAAGAGCCTCAGGCTCATTTATACCTTCTGTTGGAACTGGGGAACATTATGGAGCTGCTGGTACACTCTCTGAAACTTTGGATGCTAATACTAAGTGGGGGAAGAGACTTGATGGTCACGAGGCAGAAAAGGTGCTGAGACAAGCAGAAGTAATGAGGCATGCCAAACTTGTCAGGAAGCTAGAAGGGAAGCTTGCTTTTGTAAGTTCCTATACTTTCTTTTGATGTGGTGGAAGAGAAAGGCAATGACTTCAAGTGACATTTCTTTCTCTTCTGCTCTTGTTAGTGACACACTCTTACATGCAGGGTGCATGTGCTGTGCCTACACACTAAGTTTTCTTTCTTATAAAGAAGATCAATCTCCCTTGAAGAATAAAATAAAATAAGACTTCAAGAGTGATCAAGTAGCCCTTTCGGGCTTTCGGATTTAATCAAATACCAAAGAGTTAGAGAATATTATTTAGGGAAGTAATATATGAGAAACATCAAACAGACTCATGGTGTGTTTAGCTCCCTTAGAAATACTTGACAGTTGAAGATTCTTCCTTGTGGGAGGAAGCGTTGTCCACAACTAAAGAAATGAATATGGAAACAGTTCTATAAGAATTTTTTACACGCAGTGTTTCCCCTACTTGATTATAGTATCAACAAGTTATTTTAAGTGTTTTCAGGCTCTCATGTAAAGATTTCATGCATCTAATCTGTACTTTAGTACATATGTCGCTTATAGAGTAGTTAAAATGCCTTAGAAATAGACTTTAAGTACAATAACATGTCTTTTTACACACCATATATCACCTACATTTTATATAATTAACCAGGCTTTTGTTTAGTACGATTGTTGCATAATACCCTTCATGTAATATGCCTTTGTTTAGTACGATTGTTGCTTTATACCTCAGAGATGTTTCTAAAAGTACAAGCGGAATCCCACAACATGCACCTAAGTGAAGCTTTAATAAATATGCATAAGCTTCTACTCACTACCAAGATGCATTTTAAATGTTGCTGATAACCTCAACCATAGCCAATATGATTTCTTCTCTTCTCTGAGCTTTCCAGCTGATCTCTTCTCAAAACATTCTAGAAATGGGGTATAAACCCTGCTCAAGTTTTGAAAGACGAAACAGATTTAAGTAAAGCCTTTTTAGTTAATGAAATTATGCTGAATATAATAGTTTAGGAGCCTCGTGTGGGTTAGGATCTACAGAGAGGTTTGTTGCATAGAATGTTTTGCCCCTGAAGGAAGTGAAGTGGAATTTTTGTCCTCCTTTTTTTTTGGGGGGGGGGGGGAATTGCTATTGGCTGGTCCTACCCATCTTTTTTGTCTGAAAAATAATAAATTCACAATAGAGAAGTAAAGTGTGTTTAAAGGTATTAAAAGTAGAATCTTCATATTCTTCAATATGAGGAAGCAATGAATCAAAAGGGAATATTGTATATGTTTGATTGAGATATAATTGGGCATTTGGATAGTTGATTGCATTTTGGATGATAAAGAATGTTTCATGCATAGTTTAATTATTCCTGATGCCTGAGAATTTTTTCTTTTGAGTGTGTCCTCACGCAGTTATATCTCTGTAAGTTATCAATGATTGTTTTTTTACTCACTAACTCACATTTTATTTCATGACCATGTTCTTTGGTCGGAACAATATCTTACATGTAGTGTATAATTATACGTGCTTCCATGACATAAAGCTCTAAAATTTTCTGCTAGGCTGAACGGAAGCTGATGAAAGCTGAAAAAACTTTGTCAAAAGTGGAGGAATTCTTGAAACCAACAGATCAACAGGTGGATTCTGGGAGTATTACTGATGAAGAGAGATTTATGTTTAGAAAGCTTGGTTTGAGAATGAAAGCGTTTTTACTTCTTGGTATGACAAATTACTGAAGTTTTTACATTCTTGATCTGGAATATTAACTGATACAGCTTTGTAAATTTACTGTTTCAGGTAGGCGTGGAGTTTTTGATGGTACAGTTGAGAACATGCATTTGCATTGGAAATACCGTGAGCTAGTTAAGATCATTTTGAAGGCAAAGAATTTTGAAGAAGTTAAAAACATTGCTTTAGCACTTGAAGCTGAGAGTGGAGGCATCTTGGTTTCAGTTGACAAAGTCTCCAAAGGCTATGCTATCATAGTTTTCCGAGGAAAAGATTATAAGCGTCCTCCTACATTGAGGCCAAAGAACCTCTTGACTAAGAGGAAGGCTTTAGCACGTTCTATTGAGCTGCAAAGGCGTGAGGTATTTTTCTGCAATAAGTTACTTATTAGAGGGTGGAGCTAGTGATTTCACTTGAACTTTTTACTGGTTGGAACCTGGAACTAGTAGCTCCACGCTTTTGTTTTTGATGACTAGTGCCAAGTTTAGATTTGTGTGATTTTACATATTTCCTCCGTTCTTTTTTAGTTGACAGATTTTGACGTTTGAGACTATTCACAGTCTCTACTTTGACTTGCTTTCATGATTTAGCTAAGAAAATACATAGTCTTTTGGGATCTTTTTTAGTTCTCAATATATATTTTCAAAATATTTACTTTTTAATTGAAGATATTAGCAATTGAACTTTTGCATTAGCAAATTTGATAAAAGAAATGTGTCAACTTAATTAGAACAGAGGAAGTATTTAAACTATTTTCTAACTGATAGTACTAAATAGAATGGAGATGTGATTATATGGAATGCCTCATTTAATTCCAATAAAGAAGCCTAAATAGAGGACCTGGATCTCAATATATTCATATTGGTAGTAAATATTTCTTTGACTCGTGAAGTAGCAGTTGTACATGTACTAGCTGAGTAGGTGACTTTCTGAAGGTTGTTATACTACAATAATATGTGTGTTCAATTGCTCAAAGAGGTTAACCTTGCAGGTCTTGTGTTGTTACCTGCAACTCTTAACTAAATAATAAGTTAATATTGTTATTCTAATTTAGTGTGGGATTATTTACTTTACAACTGCTCAGCGGACCTGAATTAGCTCACGGCCTGGCTTGGTCTAGTCTGGAGTCAATCCTTGGACAACTAGGTCAGACAGGCCTGACTCTATACCTGAGTTGGCCCAGGCCTAGCCTAACCCAGCTCGGCCTATGGCTAAATCTAGGATGATGCTATCTTCTTCCATTGTATTCATATTTTGTTCTTCTGCAAGACCCATCCTTTTCTCCGTTCCCCGTTTCTAATATCCTGTTCTATAAGCTACACATGATTGCATGTTAGCAGTTTGTACCCCTTTTTTTTTTTTCCCCTAACTTATTATCTATACTCCAGCATACAGAGTATTTAAACTTGTTTCAAATTTTGTGAATCTTTAACCAAAGGCCTGTATCCTTTGTATGGATTCTCAGTCTTAAATTTGCAAAAGATGGGTTGACTCTTAGTTCTCTGCCATAGGATCCTTGCCATTGAGTGCGGGTAACATAGGTCCCAGCTGCAGCAATCTAAAAATGCTATTGTGACATCATTTTCCTTGCACAATGTTGAGGAAACTGGGTTTGAGATTCTGATATTTATTTGTAAAACTGCGTTTGCCTGGTAATTTTTGTGCAGTGATTGTGCTTCAAATAACGATAAAGAGAATAAGATAAAATTGAGATTTTTATATTAATTGTTTATTTGTAATGTTATTTTAACTGCTTGAATTTTTTCCTATTTTCTCTCATGTCATTTCATAAGATTATTTTTTATAGGGAGAGGTGTCTTCATCATAGTTTTTTTTTTTTTTTTTTTTTTTTTTTTTTTTTTTTTTTTTTTTTTTTTGAGTAAGGGTGTCTCCATCAGATTACCTTTTGTCTGTCAATATTTAATCTTTTATAATGAATCCATTACCATTACTGTTACATACAGGCTCTTTTGAAGCATATTGCACAGTTGCGGCGGAATGCAGAGAAACTAAAATCTGAAATCGTAAGGCCTCTGTAGTATATTCTATATTCCAGCTTGTATGAACTGTTCCACTTATTTCATCTTTCTCTACTCCTAACTGTACTAACCTTGACTAAACTATATTAGGAACACATGGATGTCATGGAAGAGGAACACCAAAAAGAAGTGTTTTATGATAGATTAGATGCTGCGTATTCCACGGAAGATGAGGTCAAATAGTAGTATTTCTCATTTTCTTGTTCTCTAGATGCTAGTTCATCTTTCTTTTAACTGACTGGTATTCTATAGGAGGAAGAAGATGAAGCATACCTAACAACCTACCGTGATGAAGGTGACGATGGTGAAACTGAGAGCTCTGATAGTCTCACTCTGTAAATACGAATATCAGTTTCAGAACAATAAAGCAGCAACATTGCGACAAAAAAGGTAAAATAAAAGTTTTAACAGGACCTGCAGAATCCCCCTAAATTAGGATGTGCATTCACGTTATCTTTTCTTTTAATGTTTCACAGGTGGGATAAGATGAAACAACTGGCACACTTGACAAGGGAGGAGTGATCATGAAGGCGAGCATTCGCTGCCTCTTTCTTCTATGAGTTGTGAGGCGAGTGTTAAAGCGTGATGTCTCCTGTAAAGCTGCATCACAAAGAGGGTTGTAAATAATTTTGAAATTGTAAGGATGGATATTAAGTTCAGACACAAAAGTAGTGTACAGAGACGAGTAGCATAGGAGTATTTTTTTTTATTTTTTTTTATGGGAAGCTGTTGGTAACTTTAGTATTATTTTAACTGTTTATTTGTTTAAGGGTATGACAATTAATCAATTGTTAATATAATACGTACTTTCGTTTTTAATTATTCGCAATAAAAATATTATTCGTAAAATAAAGAAATTTATTGGTATATTTTAGGTCTTTAATTAAATTTATCGTCTTTTGAGTAGAGAAACATAAAGTTGTAGATATCATATCATCACTTCTAATAATAAGAAGTAAGTATTTAAAAATTAATGTTGATTTATTTATTTAAATAAAAATTTCAAATCGGGACATAAAATTTGGAAAGACAATGGCGATCTAGCATTTTTTAAAATTAATATAAATAAATATATTCATAGAAATTATTACAAAAATCATATAAATACACTTTTATAATTATTTAAATAAATAAACTTTTGTAATGACGCATAAAATAAATATAAACGAAATAATAATTTATATTTTTATGAGATTAATTAAACTTTTCTTATGTATATAAGCTAAATCATTATGAAAGTGTTTATTATTTAAAAATTAAACTACGTCATAAGATATGCCATGTTAAAGAAAACAATTATATTAAAAATTATTTATTAATTAACAAATTACGTAAAATTACATATATACTATTTGATATATATAATTATATGTATTAATAGAGTATTCTAAACTTGTTTAATTATTTATTTTTTAAATGTTTGTAATAATTTTTTTTAATAATAAAAATAAGTGGAATAATGGTAGGGTAAAAAAAAAAAAAAAAAACAAAAAAAAAAACAAAATAACCCTCAAAGTTTTATATATGTCATCACAAACATTAATGTTGTTTTGAGTTATTTTATATGTCACCAAAAAGTAAAGTCAATATATATTATAATAAGATAGCTATACAAGTTGATAATCAAATTTTTTAATTTTTTAAAATTTTTTTTTATATGAATGTTATAAATCTTCAAACTCTTTAAAATTATTCATTCTAATTTCATTCAATTAAGATTTATCAAAACAGTTTTGGAGATTTTTCCGAACACAATGGAGGAGATTTTTAAAGATCGCACTTCACAGCAGAATGATCGTGTCTGTTTTTCGTGGTTGCCGGCGACATATGTGCTCCGATCGGAGTTGAAGTAATTTCTGCGGATGTATATGAAATAGCAAAAACCTTAATATTGATTGCAGCATGAGATGTATTTTCTTGGGGTTTTTAAATTTTATTTAATATTAATTTCAATTGAATTGATGTAATTTATGGTTTTAAATTGTTCTTGTATTATTTACAGTCCAAGTAACACAAAAGCAGTAACTAAGCAAGGTACAGTAATGCGGAGTGGATAATCTATGATAGATAGTAATAAGTTAGAATGCGGAGGAGACAATCTATGATAAATGGTAAGAAGTTGCAAGATATAATCTATAATAGATCGATCTTGTTAAACATATTTTGAGCTCTTTTATATTTTATAAGAGTGGAGAGAGACTTGAAACTAGTAAAAAAAAAAACATTGTGAAAAAAGAATACAAGTGGCTGGAGAAGATTGTGAGCTAATTTCTAATCAACTAATTAAGATTCAAAAAAGATAGTGCTAATTCATTCATTTTAATGAGTTAGATGCTTTCATACAGGTATGGATAATTGATGTAGTAATATTCTCCCTATGTTGTATGGATAATTGATGTGGTAGAAACCCTAAAACTTGAGTGAGAATATCTTCAATAGGATTATTCCATGGTTGAAGGCCATAGGTTCAAACCTAGAACTTTATAATTGTGTCCAAAAATGTTATTTGCTATCAAATAAGTATATGATGGTGGAAGAGGATAAGAGGAATCAGGAAAGTGGTGGATAATGAATGATGCAAAACTGCATGGAGTATTTTCTTATTGCTATTTGTACTACACCATATACTTTCGAACTATTAGATATGATAATATTGACCAAATTGGTAATTAAAAAACCCCTAGTGACAATTTGGCAAAAAAATAACTTTGGCGACAATATGGTAAAAAAAGTTAACTCGAAGCGACAATTTGGTAAAAAAATTTATTCTCAGGCGATATTTAGACCAAAATATCTAATTTTTTTTTCTAGACAAAGTATTCACATTTCCTAATTCAATTCGTTATTATATTTTTTAAAATTATTTTTGTCATTTTAAAATTTAATTAATATGTCATCTTGTTTTATTTTGCTATATCTCGATATCAAATTTATTTTCAACCTCATTTTTTAAGAAATCGATAATATGGGGTAGAAAAATTATGTGAAAATTAATAATTAAACAATAATTATTCTTCAAATTGTTAATTCTGAAAAAGGGGTTGGAGATTTTGGTAAGAAAACCTTGAAAAACGAACTAACTTATTAAACATTTACGAGTAGTTTGTCGGAATTTTTTGTATATTTGGGTTAATTGTCGTCAGAGATGATTTTTTTTTTTTACCAAATTGTCGCTTGGGTTTAGCTTTTTTTTACCAAATTGTCGCCGGAACTATTTTCTTTACCAAGTTGTCGCTAGGGGTCTTTTTTATTTACCAATTTGGTCAATTGGCCCACAAAAGCTATAAAATTTGATACTAACAATGGAGACCTTGCCTTTCATGCCCCATAGGCCCACACCATTCGGTCTAAACTAGTGAACTACGAAATTTGGGATTTTTGCTTGGTAACCTGGTACTTGTTACGGGGTGTTTCCTGGTAATCTTGTCAAGCTAGCATTTGCCTCTAAGTACAGTAAGGCTAACTTATGCTATGAGTCTTTGGTTTTCCTTTGGTTTGAGGGGGTTTAGGGGAGGGGGGGGGGGGTGTTACATAAAAAAAACATATATTAACATGATAGGCCATTGAGAATGGACATTGTACTCGCTTACAATAATGGGTAACTTATTTTTGTAGAATGTAGGATACACGGACTAAAATGGAGCTTAGGCTTTGAAACAATGTCTTCTTTTTGTTTTCAAAGTACCACGCGCTACTTGTTTACATGATGATGATGGGCTAATGTACCTGTGCATAATTGATTGAAAATTAGAAATGGCTCAAATTTTTATTTTTTTGTTTTGTTGATAAACTGCAATTATATGGGATTCATGAATTAACTCTTGTGACATGCTCAAATGATTACTAACAAGCATATGAGAATCGGAGTTGTGTTGTTTTCCCTGGTATACTTTGGGCTGTCTTGTTAATGTATGCTTCTCTACATCCATATACATTGCACACTAGGTCATATATTGCACTAGATTCTAGATAATGTGCCGCACCAATATTGTCACATATTTAAGTGTTAAATTATCTGATGCTATTGGTTTATCATGTGGTCAACTGTCTGAATGACACCTTTACATGACTTGTTTTGAATTTTATACAATTTCCATGTTTCATGGGAACAATATTTCCATCATTTTCTGCACTAGAGTTGAATAGTATGTATCCAAAATCAAATTCAACGTCTTAGTGTTTATGCTTTGAGCTAGAATCGAACTCATAACCTCCGAGACATAAATATAATACATTTACCATCTTAACCAACTTTTATTCATGTTTCAAATTTCACATAATATTATATTTTCCTTTCATTTATTAAGGAAATGAGAGGTAATATAATTCATTTATTTACAAAAAAAAAAAAAAGTGACACCCGAGTCTGAACCACACATTAACTAAGTAACTATATATACAAACAGTCGAACATAATTATCATATTAAAGAAGTACACACACTAGCAACCTGGGACATCGTTCAAGGCACACACTAGTTTTTAACATAAAATATTGATAGGCAATAATTAGATTGGTTGGAGAAGATATAAGAAGCCCAAATAACATTAAAAAGGTGTATTTTTAGATTGGACCACCTACGGATGAATGAGAGCAATCTTTATAAATTAAATCTTTGGGCCCAAATCCAATCACCAAACCCAAATTAATTATACTCGTATCATGGAAGCCTATTGTTTTAATTTTCTGATTTACTTGTTCTTCAAGCTTTTTATTTGTGCATCTATATATACTACCTAAATTACACCCGACACCCTCACTCTCTCTCTGTTCAGGTATTTTCTCGCTCTTCCCAATGTTAATTTTTTTTTTTTTTTTTTTTTTTTTTTTTTTTTTTTTTTTTTTTTTTAATTTGTGAATTTGTTTTAGTTTTGTGGATCTTACTTAGGGTTTGAATCAATTAATGGCATTGACGATAATTGTGTATGAATCGTGAATATTGGTGTTGTTGGATTAATTTAGGTTGCCATGTTTTATTTTTATTTATAATCAATCGAATTTTAGTAAATTTAACTTGTCAAATTATTTTTTTTTTGGCACTTGATTCATGTGATGTTGATGGGTAGTATGTTGAGTTGTGTTGTATTATTATCGACGAAATCGTGCGATTTAGGATTACCGTGATGCGGCAATCTGTACCGTGACACGGTAATTTTTACCGTGTCGCAGCAGTCCTGAAATTTCTCCAGGGGTTCTGTATTTTTCTCGTTATAAGCTTCCTTCGTTTTTCTGAAAAACCATATGTGTTCTACATACGTTTTAGCCCTGGGGGATTTAAGCTCTATCAACCCGAACACGTTCATAACAATAAGGGTTCGTCCAAGTTTTTAAATACACCCAAACCATGGAGTCGAGTTCGATTTCATCACGAACTTGCAGAGCTGCCCGTTAGCATACACCCTCAAGGGAGGCTGCCTTGTTAACGCGTCCAAACTCTTAACCATGGTACCCTTTTGACACCCAAATAAGCTTGACCATAGTCGAACATAGATAATGACTTTAGGTTGCGAACTTCATTGCATCATGTGTGACAATGTGCTTATATGTGCATATTTTTATTGATTTATTTATTTATTATTTTTTTTTTCTTATCTAACCCTACTTTTTTATTAGAGCCGAGTCATAGTTCTTTTTTTATTTTTTTTTTTTTTTTTTTTGAGTCAACCTGGATTTTTATTCCCGTATCCTGCACAAGTGTTAACTTGTTTTGGTCATAGCCGGAGTTCTAAAAAAAGTTATGTGTCGTGCCACCTTTGGATCTGTAGCCCCGAGTTTTATCTTTCATTTGGCATTGATTTCGT